AATGAAATCTGTAGTTAGGACAAATCGTCCCACTCTGGGGGATAAATTTTGGTACGGGTGCTGCGGAAACCGGCAAACCCCTTTAAATTTTTAATTGAATACGAAGGGAAAAATTTTGTACAAAATTTTAAAATTTAAACTCTCAAAACAAGGAGAAAACACCGCCCCTTTTTCAACCTACACCCAAAAAAAAACCTCTTTTTAAAAACTACAACCTCTACTAACCATACAACCCAGTGTATCAATAAAACCCCGGAAAATTTTTTCCAAAGTTAGCTTTCCCCGACCGTCCCACAAATCCAACTCCCAACGCGTCTTGGTTTAAAACCTCCAAAAAAAAACCATAACTTCTCCCTCCCAGGGGGAGAATTGGGGTTTCCCGTATCCACTCAGAACCCAAAAATCACCCCCCTCCCCTAAACCCCCAAAATGTGGTCTGGGGTGTGCGGACTCGGGTAAACTGGTGAAAAGACCCGGCAACACTTTCCCTTTTTTATTTTGGGGGGGGAAATTTCCCGCCCCGGATTTTGGCCTCAGTGTTAAAAAAAAGTTTAAAAGGTTCCACTTTTTGGGGGACTGGGGGGTGAGGAATTTTTATGTTTCCCCTTTTTTAATGTCATGTTTGTTGGAAAAACTTATGGATATTAAAATAGGGGGTTGCTGGAAATTTTCCTTTTTTAAAACCCCAAACCGGAAAAGTAAAATTTTCATTTTCCCGATTTAAGGGGGGATCCCAAACCGCCCCAAAGAAAATAAAAACCTAAATTTAAAAAACCAAAGGGAAGCCCCTAAAATTTAAAAAAAAAATTTTAAGGTTCAAGACCCCTTTTGCGACCCGGCATTTCCGTCCCCCGGTTAATTTTTAAAACCCCCCGTAAAGTGCAATATTTGGTATTTCCCCCTTTTTCTTTAAATTTTGGGAGTTCCCGACTTTTGGGCGTGCCATTCTATCCCCCAGCAACCCCCCGGGTTGGGCGCTGGCCCAAAAAAATTTAGTAAAAACCCCTAAAATTTCAAAAAAGCACACTAAAAGAAAAAAAATGAGTTTGGGGTTTTGGGGATTTTTTGGGGTTTTTTTAAAAAGTAAGGGAAAAATTTGAAAATTTAAATCCCTGTCCTTTAAAACCAAACAGTTAAAAAACCCCACGCGGTCCCCGTACAAATGGCCTTAAACTTAAAAATCTTTAAAAACTTCTCAAAATTTTTTGGTTAAAATATTTTTTAAAGCATTTAACTGCGCATTGCATAATACCCTTAATAGGAAAAAAAAATTATTAAAAAAAAAAAACTACAAAAAATTTTTTTCTACGGCAAAAAAAAACAAAATCAAAAAAAGCGATCATTCAGTAACTGCGCCAAAAAAAATCATTTTAATAAATTAAAACCCAAAAGAGGGGTTTAAAGGGGGTTCAAATGCAGGAGGGGCACTACTTTCGTGGATTTTTAAACAAAAACTGTGCTTAAAAACAAAACTTTTTCACATAAAGAATATTTTATAAACTTAAATAAATTTTTGATTTTGAGTAATAAAAAAAAAAAAAATATTTTTCCAGGTGGGGTTGGGGAGTGGACATTTCTGGAATAACCACTTTTTCAATTCGGATGGGTTTCCCCCTTTCCCAAACCACGTGGTAAAAAATAACCCTGGGGGCCCAAATCAGGAAAAAAAGGAAATTTTTAAATTTTTATACCACAGCATTCTTGATTTCCCTTCTCCCTTTTTTTTGCCCCACCCAGGTTCGCGGACCGCGCCCTCAAAGGGCCCCGGGGTTTTCGTTTATTAAGGTCGTAAAGACACGAACCGAGAAAATTTAAAGTCAACAATTTTTAAAAAATACTGCAATAAACGAAATGTTTTGAACCCCAAAGAAAAAAGTAAAACCCAAAACCCAAAAGGGGGTTTTCGGGGTTTTTTTCTTCGGCCCAAAAAATAAAATTTTTTTTAAAAGTTATAAAAAGATTATTCCTGGATGGGTTCCCCGTCCTAAAAGTCCCCGGGGGGGGGTTTCCCAACCCCGTTTTTAAAAGGCTTTCTCGTTTTGCTTTTCCCGGGTTAAAAAACGATTTCTCGACGGGTTTCACCTCCTAGATTTATTCCCAAAAAAAGTTTTGGGCTTTAATTTCAAATTTTTTTTAAATAAAAAGCAATAAAGGGGGTTTTCGGGCCCAAAAACCCTTTTTTCAGGGGTTTTTGCGGGGCAAAATCGAAATTTTTGTATTTCATTTCCCGGGAAGGGCCCTTTAAAAACTTAAAAAAAAAAAAATTTCCCATACACCAAAAATTTTTCTAATAGCCCCATTTTTAAAAACCCTTAAGAACAACATATACCTTAAAATGCTTCGTTTCGGAAATATGGCCGAAAAAAACGGTTTTTGGCTTGACGCAGTTCAAATTTCCGTATTTTTGGCATTTCCGCCTAGGAAGGTCGTAGAGACTATTCTGATACACTAAAATGTACATAATGGCCACATTTATATACAACTTATGAAGCAACATAAAAGGCTTATTTTTTGTTGCTCATGAGTCTTTAAGACCGTTCTAGTTAACAGTCCAATAGCCCATTTGTGAATATTATCGCTCAGCAAAAATCCGTTTTTAGCCACATTTCCGAAAATAAGCCTTTTATGTTGCTTCATAAGTTGTATATAAATGTGGCCATTATGTACATTTAGAGTGTATCAGAATAGTCTCTACGACCTTCCTAGGCGGAAATGCCAAAAATACGGAAATTTGAACTGCGTCAAGCCAAAAAAAAACCGTTTTTTTTCGGCCATATTTCCGAAACGAAGTATTTTAAGGTATATGTTGCTTCATAAGTTGTACATAAATGTGGCTATTAGACACATTTTGGTGTATCGGAATAGTCTTTAAGACCTTCCTGGACTGAAATACAAAAATTCGAGTGACGCAAAAACCCTGAAAAAGGGTGTGGCCTTTATTGCAAAAATGCAATAAAGTCCAAATGTTTTGAGAATCATCTAGAGAGGTGATAACCGTTGAGAAATCGCTTTTAACACGAAAAGCAACGAGATTCCGTTTCGTCCTCAGACTATACTGAATGGTATGTATATAATTTGAAATAGTCTGATCTGGCTTTAAATGGCCGGTAATCATAATTTTAAATTACGTAGATAATCATAATTTTAAATTACGTAGATTATAAAGCTTAATTGACAACCACAACTATGTTTCATTTCAAATTAATTCTGATGTGAAATGAGGGGGTTTTTCTTTCGTGGAGCAATTTTAAAACGGCTTCCGAAAATATTCACGTCTTCATATGGTAGGATTGAGAGAAATTTTCGGAAGCTGTAACTGCTCCATGAAACAAAAACATGATGTCATAAAAACTAATTACAAACACTATAACAAATCTATTACATGTATTGAGAATTATGTAATGTAACGTGATGGAAATATTTTTAAACAGGTTCAAATCCTGTCCAAACCCAGGATTTATAACATGAAGAATTCGTTGTAACTTTTGTATTTTTAAGCATTAGTATATTGAATGACTTAATCCTCTACTCTCCTTAAACTCTACTCTGAACTCTCCGCCTTTCCCGATTAAAGTGGTCCGACAATTCCGAATATTATAGTATTTAGATTATGATTATATGAAAAAAGGACTGCTGGCCACCGTCATATTTAAGGAGATGTTTACCAGCAACGCTTTATCCCATTTAAAAATCGTTTTGAACTGTTCTTCGACCGCTTTATTTAAATTGGTATTTATATGTTCAAATTACCCCATCAAAATCTCGTTTATTCAAAGGTCACAAATCTCGTTTTCTTCCCGACTTCAGTATTTTCTTCCCGACTAAGATCTCTGGAAAACACATTATAACAATACCTACGTACTATGAAACTTGGCAAAGCTTTAAGTCGTCTCCAAAATGACACCACTTTTTTTCCAAACCATTGTCCAAAATTACCCCAAGAAAAAATTATCTGGGGAAAAAATCCAATTATTCAAAATGTTAAACGACCCCACCGGCCACGGCGGCCACCGTAATACTCGAATTCTATTACAGTAAAACTAAAAGTAAAACCCCGATTAACCGCAGAGTTTAGGGGAAAGAAAACAACCGCGGTAAATCGGGGTTTTGTTTGTTTACATTATGCATGTTAAACCCTAATAGTATTTGTGGGGAGGAAATAGCCGCGGTAAATCTGGGTTTGCGGTAAATCGGGGTTTGCAGTAAATCGGGGCGCGGTAAATCGGAGTTTTACACATAGAATTGTTGAATCTTCCAATCTTCCAAAATGATAAAAAAAGAGTAACAGTACTCTGACAGTATGTTAACCATTTCAAATGAAATAAAGGATATAGCTCGCTGTAGACAATGTTGCAGTTGGATAAATATTTTGTAGTTTTTGTACAGATTACGGTCTAAGATGGCAAGTACGTACGGTACAGGGCTTTAAGTACGTACGGTACAGCTACTTTTAAAGGTACGTACCGTACAGGCACTGTAAGGTACAATTTTTTTTCAAATTTTTAGAATTAACTTCAGTGAATTACTTGCAATTTTTGATTAGTATTATCATCATAATTTTTGAGATAAAAAACCGGTACTACACTACTACTACTTGTAATTATCGTTAAACTCAAAGCTTCATCCTTTTGTTGCAGTATACGAACACCAGCTTTTCAGCTAGCTCAGGTCGCAACCTTAATCTACGCTTGTCCATAATATACTCGTAATCTCTAAAATTGGTCTCACAAATTGACGAAGAACTTAAAACACTGAATACTATTTGGGCCAACTGTTTAAGCAGAAAAAGTTCTCCTCCAAAATATTTCCAGTATATTGACGGATTAATAAGCTTTGTACCTTTCAGCCTACTTTATTAAGTACGTACCGTACATCTAATTTAAAGGTACGTACCGTACGTACTTGCCATCTTAGATTACGGTGTAAACTTGTTAAGATGTTTTTACCACGGATTCTATTTGTACTGTACGATCCTGTCAATAATAATAATAATTTCAGTGTAAGCGAACAGCTGGGAAGTAACTTTGTCACACATACAGTCGGACTCTTTTCAATGAGGAGACGAACTCTTGATGTCAAACAGGTTTCCCAACTCTTCATATTATGAGATATCAGCACTTATAATGAGCATTTGCTGGTTAGATAAAACATATTCCAGAATATGGAGGGTTCGTTCAATGACCCAGCCATCCAGCTTGCCAAAACTAGATCGTCAAATAAAATTGAGTGCTGCTCCAAACCGTTTGATCATCAATTCAACGGCTTTAAGATTTAATCACTAAGTGGTCATCAAATGAACCGTTAGAAGGATATCGTATAAATGGGATAGCTGGTAGTTGTAGTTAAGGAGTTAGGTTATTATATGAATAATGTCTGGGAAAAATTTGCGGCAAGCTAAAGCTGTTCTCTGCAGAAATGTGTTGTCCATAGTCCCAGCAACCATACAAAGACTATTAAATCTGGATCCATGATGGAAAAATTAGAGCATATTTTTTCCAGGCGCCTAAGGACCCTTAAACTTTGACTCCATATTAAAATTTCATCCAAGAAACCCCAGAGAGAGATTTTGAAAATACCACGGCCCCTCACCACCAAACTAATTATCTAATTGATAATAATTAAACTAATTATCAGTACTCCTCAACTAGGCTCCAGTAAACACCAGACCTAACCCACTTCTCCCAGGTGTGCACCTCAGCAGAAGGTGGTGTCTGGCTCCTCAGCAACTACAACACACTACACCGACGCTACGGCATCATAACCGGCCACAACTGGGCCAACATATCCCGGACATTGATCAGCGGGAGACGGGAACAGTGGCAAACACTAGCGGGGGAAGGAGCGTATCCGGACATTTCCGGTCCTGTTTGGGGGCTGACTATGGCGGGGGATATAGTGTGTTTCACTAGGTCTTCACCACCTCGTCCACTGGAACCACCCTGTTCCCAGGGTAGGGTAGTACATATAGCCGCTACCACTAACGTGTTATGGGCTGTAGATCAGAGCGGTCAGATCCACGTTAGAGAGGGACTAGCTCGAGATGACGTGCTTGGAACACACTGGCAAACTCTAAACATGACCCAACTAATGGGGGTGCTCCTTCATAAACTCAGTTGTTCAGATAGAGGGGTTTGGGCGGTTGACACAACCGGCACGCCCTGGTTTAGAACTGGTTGTTACGCCGGAAAAGACATCGTACAAGCTTGGGTGAGAGTAGAATCAAACTCTTTAAAGTTTCGAGAAGTCTCCTCAGCAGGTTCCCTAGTCTGGGGTGTGGATGGGAGGAACAGTGTGTATGTCAGAACTGGTGTTTCATATTCACTACCAGTAGGATCAGACTGGGAACAAGTGCCTGGACTGCAGTGTTTGCACGTGCGCGCGGCTCACGAGGGCGTGGTGGCTTTATCCACTTCCCAGCACCTTGTATACCGTTACGGGGCTTGCCCCACCCTCCCCGCGGGTAACTACTGGAGAAAGGTACCAGGTCCACCACCAGACGGCTCTGTGTCTCTTATCACTACCTTGAAGGGTGGGGGAGTCTGGTGTCAAAGCGGAAGGTCTAATCTCCTTGTATAGGAGGAGAGTCAGGACTGTTCCAGATAAAGGGCATGTTAATCAGGTGGGGTCTAGTCCTGCTGAAGAGGGCTGGGAGGTTGTGTGACCTGCTCATTGAGGGGGGAGGGGCGATTGTCAATTAGCAATTAATACCCTTTTTGCTGAGTTTTCGATGTTCCTTATGGAGAGAATGGTACGGTGTGATAAGCACTAAATTTAAATGTTACCCACAGTCTAATAAAAGTCCCATTAAGTGAAATGATAATATATCGCATTGTGCTACAACTATTTTAAAGTGGGTGCAAAATTCAATCATATCTAGCCATGGACATTGCACGGCGTCACAATAGGCAAGCATCAAAGGCTGAATATTAGTTATATAACGCATTCAGCTTCGTCGGGGGAGGGGGGATGCAACGACCATTATAATTAGTTTCAGTATTATTTTATTTTGCCAATACTGACATTGTCATTAATGGTCATCCTACTATATATAAAGCGAGACGATATATATCCGTAACATTTTACTGATACCACGGCATCAACTTAAACACGATTTTCCGCAAAAATCAGCATGAAAAATAAAAAATTGGCCAAGAAATAAAAATTTTAGTGCCCAAAATTTGGACCCCCAAGAGGTGTCAAAAACGTGAATTAAATAGGTAATAATTTATTTAGTCTCTTGAGTATTGACGGGTTCCTACTAGTTAATTTCATTTATTACTATACTAGTAACAGCAACTTAGGGAATATTCGTTTACTGATATACTTCGTAGGAGTCTGTCATTAACCTACGAAATATAATACCACTTACATAAGTCAGCACGAGTTGAGTACTGAGTAGTACCATAACAACGTGTCTCGACAAATTGTGCAATCTTTACAGATTTAACCATAAGTGGTTAAGTTGTGAAATAATATTATCTGTGATCTTATTTATTTTGCAATTTCATGTTGAATGTTGGTCAAAATTTTGGGACCTTAAGTTTTTATTCTTTTGTCAATTTTGTATTTCTTCATGCTGGTCAAGAGGCCATAAAAGCATTCGACCCAACAATTAAACAATTTCGATGGTATATCTCTCACGGTTTCCGCAGAAAGTCTTATTAAATTTGATGTCGTGGTGTCAATAAAATGGCGACAGATATATTACATCGTCTCGCTTTATTCTTTATTAATTATACAGGTTGGGCCAAAAGTCAGTGGACATACGTTGGCCTTAATAGCTCCGCCGTGTTTTATAAGTTTATATTTGAGAGCTGTTCCTTTGCAGATGGTATACTGTACTTACTGCTTTACTGGTTCGAGGATTCCGTCGTCAAAATTTGAATATTTTAGACCACGCTCATTCAATATTAAAACACCTATAATTAAATATTGTTTTCTCTGAACATGCTGAACGCCTAATTTTTTTTTCAGAGACGGTAGATTATTAAATGTTGCATATGATCTGAAACATGAGGCAAAACGGAATAGAAATGGCGAAGTTATCAAGCATTTTCTGTATCTCGTTAACAAAATTGACTGGGTGATCATGTGACACCTTGACACGACACCTTAATTGGGCACTCTTAACAATTCCCATAACGTTTAACAGGTGGTTAACTGGGTGGTTAACTGGGTCACCTAATCACGTGATTAGGTTACCCAATCACCTGATCACACGTAATGAATAAACTCGTTATGCTTCATATCTCGGTCATCTGAGAAGGTACAGTTCTAATTTTTTCAGGACAAACGTAATTCGAATGGCCAAACACAATTCAATAAAATTTAGCTCGATCCGACTATCCAAACTATCAAATAAATGCAAAAATGAACCTTCATTCGAAAAAAATGAACTCGAATATTTTTCATTCACATCTAGCTATAACAGTATAACTATAACCAGGCACTGCGTCACAATTTATGAAGATCTAAGGGATTATTCGTTTACAGATGATACCTCAGAACGTGGCGTGGCGATAAAATTTGATACCATAAAATAAGGAACTGAGCCTTAGTGAGCTGTTTCTACCCTTTTACTGTGCGAACTCTTCGTTATTTTGGTAATTGAAAGAATGAAAAGCTGTTCGAAATATTTGATACGCAACCTTTTTTCCTAAAAATATGTACATATTTCAATCGCCCCTCCCCTTAATTTAATTAATTAATTAGTTGATTAACTGATCAATTAGTTCTATAGGTAATTGATTAATTTTCCTCATGTTTTTGCTGATTTATTTTCATGGTTAGATTAATGTAACCCAATTACAGGTTGGTTTACTGTAACACTATTTTGCAATTTGTGGCAACTTCTTTTTTGAATTGTGAATTAATTCAAGTTCGTAAACACTATTGGTAACCGAATGCTTAATTTCACAATAATTAATTTTCAATGCTTAATAAATGATTCTAATTTGAAAATTGATTAAAAATAGTAACAATAGTAATTAATTAATGCTAATCATTTTCTATTGTTACCGATGGTGTAAGTCATGTACATTTCCATTAAAATTAAAAAGGTGATGAAGAGAGCTCATCAGAATATATGTCACATCTTTAATCTTTTATTTCATTATTTTTCTTTTGTTTCTATATGTTTTAAATTGACGAAAATGATTGATTAGTTAAAATGATTGATTAGTTATCAATAATTATTCGTCATCATAAATTGATCAGTTTTTTGTGTCAGAAGTGTGGGGGAGAGTTCAGAGGAATCTTTAGTCTTGCGTGCAGCGTGGTAAAACTAAAGATGATTTAATTGTAAAACTAAACGATTGATTAGATTTTAAAGGGTATTTAACGCAATTTAAGTTAGGCTATGTCATATTTGATCGGTAATTTCAAAATGAAATGTGCGCTAGAGCTGGTTTAAGATGGTATAATTGTTAACGTTGGAATAAATTTGAAAGGGCTTTAAGTTTAACGCATCACAGGGAGACTAAAGTGCAAAGAAACTGCTGCTTTGCACTTTACTCATTTAGTCATTAGTCTCCCTGTAGCTGTGGCATATTTTGAAACTTGGTAATTCCTTTACCGAGATAGTTAAGCGATAATGTCATATTTTATCGGTAATTTCAAAATGCAATGTGTGTTAGAGCCGAGTCCTATCGTTTTAGTTTCACGAATTCGTTCTTCGCGTTCGGATGTACTTCTAGATCAAAAAAAGGTGAGGTTTGAAAACGTTATTATGTGATGGATTTATTTTATAATACTTTGAGATCTTGAAATGAACCGCGAATGCAAGTTTTTTATTACTTCGATTTACAAAATTGATTGTCCGCTGAAAATATCACAGATAGATCGGAATCATGAATTAATGGTGCCTCTCTTATCAGCCTCACAAATCCGGGAGAGAAATGAAGTAAAATAAATGTGCTACTTCGTACTCGTAGCACAAATCACAATTGCCTCGGGCCATAGCATTTCGAGAAGAAAGCGGCGCGCGCTACTATTAGTACTTCGAAGAAATTTGATATCCGTCAAGTTAAAGCTCTAGCTTACTTATACTATTACTTGATACATGTTACGTATCCCAAATATCAGAGATATATATATGGATACACCATGAAGGCACATCTCTGCGCGGCGTAAGTAAATTTACAAGTTCGCGCGAAAAATGTCTTATTTTTCTGGCGCTTTGTTTTCGCGCCGGGAGTGAATCACTAATTAGCTAACTACATAACTAGCATAATCTACAATCTAGATCTATAATACGAAGTAAGAGTTACCACGTTATTCTTTTATTTCTCCGTTTAGCCTACAATTCTAATAACTAACAATTGAGTATGAGGTCAATTAAATGTCCATAGATATGGATTATAGAAATTATATAAACACATAATTGAACAGCATGAGACAAGTGGAAAACAAACAAACGAATAGATTTCAAGCTCGTAAAGGATCGTTGCTTGATATTGGAGATTTCAAAACTGTAGTCCGACAGTCAAAGTTCTTTTGTCTAACTTTAGTGCGTGTCGAACTTGAGTCCAGATACTCAGATAGAACACTTTAGTTTGACAGAGTCGAACCAGGAACCTCAGAGTTTGTCGAACTACAGTAAGTGACGAACTAGAGTATATATACAGAGATATATACTTTTCCGCCTTCAGCGGCGCGCACTTCGCGCGCGAAAAATGGCATGCAACGTATGTCAAACTATTACTAATTCGCTCGCCCAAAGATTATCACGTGACTTTGAGTTTATGCGATTTAGCAGCCGAATAATTCCAGAAAACCTTACTGGCTGGCCGCGGTGGAGGTATTTCAATATAAAACTTATTTTGATCGAAAAAGTATGAATTTTCACAAAAATTTTTAAAAATATGGGCGAGCGATTTAATAAAATGGGAAAGCAGATTATTTGTTATTATTTAGTATTACCCAGCTAGCTGCGTTTAGGGCTTGCTTCTTAATTTGTTCTCTCCACTCTCATCACTCGCGCATGACCGAGCAGCATTCACTATTAAATCGTTTATTGTTTATAATTAATTGCTGCCTCGAAAAAACATTTAAACACTTGCACTTGCACGCTTAATACGAAAAATCAATAAAAAATAGCCGCGTTCTGAGTTGTTAAATTGTAAAATCTGATTATTGGATTGTAAAATCGCAAAAACAAAAACGCGCCAGCTTGCGCGTTTGAAAGGGTTCAAATACGCCCTATATTAGGTTCAAGGTTATTTTTTTTTTTTTTTTTTTTTTTTTTTAAGAGAGGCTGGGCAAAGATAGCCCACGAGAGGATAGCATTGAGATGCTCTGCCTACCTCTGGGGTGTGGCAACCTTGGGGAAGGTTGCCGGTGAAATCAGAGTGATTGGTGGAGGATGGTGTAAGATGTTATAATATGAGTCAAAATGATACGCTTAATGCCAGCTGGGTTTGGAAAAGTACAACGAGACGAGACAGCATATGAAATAATACTTTAAGTCACCCCGGTCTGATCCAGCTCCTCCGGCACAATTAAGCGTTTGGTGCGGTTTGCGAAATTGACAATTGTGGTGATGTGTTGGTTGTCGAATATGTCATTGACAGAGAGGTAGTAGTCCTGGAAATATTGACCTCTAATTTGGGCAATAGCCGGACACTGTCCAAGAAAGTGTGAGACAGTTTCCTCTCCGTCGCCGCACATAGGACAAGCACTGGTGTTTGATTTGCAAATGGTGTGAAGGTGTTTGTTTAAGCCGCAGTGACCCGTGATGAGGTGAACTGCAGTTCTGTAATCTTGTCTGTTTTTGCTGAGTGTAGTGTTGAGGTTTTTGATGATTTTGGCATGCTTGTGGCCGAGTGTCAGTTTGGTGTGTCTGGGACCGTCAGTTAACCAAGTTTCCTGATTCAGTCTGTTGACTTTGTTGTCGATTTGACGCTTGATGTAGGATTGAGGAATTGGACACTTCAAAGTGGATTCACTGATTGTACCAAGCTTGGCCAGCTCATCTGCTTTTTCGTTCCCCCACAATCCGATGTGTGCTGCAATCCATCGTATCTCTAGCGTGTTGTTGGATCCGAGTGCATTAAGAGAGTCGTAACAGTCTCTTGTAGTTCTACTCCGCGTTGAAAGCGCAGAGATAGCTTGTATAGATGAGAGACTGTCAGACCATATGATGATGTGTGTGTTGGTATAGGTAGAGAGATATTTGCAAGCTTCAATGATGGCGGTGAG